GGACACCTGAAAGTACTTTACAGCCAATGAAGTATATTTTTCAAATGTAGTATTCATTGGCTGCTATGTTTTCTACATTGGAATGTGCTCCAGCAAGTTGGCATCATTAACAAGGTGATAATGACCAGACAGTCTGGTTTTTGTAGTGTTGTTTGAGGGAAAAGTATTTTCCAGGAAACCAAGGAGAGCTCCCTTGCTCATCTTTAGATATTGATATGGCATCTTTTATACGGTCAGGTTCTGTTCAATTCTGTGTATCAGGAGGGAGGGGGCATGTTTCAGAGTGATCGCAGGCCTTCTGTTCGTCCTTGCTCTGTCATTTTCTTCACACCGGCCTATTGTAAAGACATTTATAAAACCCAGCAGTGTTTCTCTCCGAGGACATTTAGCCTTATTCCGTCTGCTGTCGTGGGCCACTGGCTTCCAATTTTTTTTTTGTTAGAATTAAATCAAACATAAAGACGTTCTAAATCCGGCACAAAGTTATAGCCTGTTTGGGGTGAGTGAAAGCTGGGGGTGAGGGAGACGGGGTTGGGGTTCTCCTCACTGTGTAACTATGGCAACAAATGACTCATTGGGATATGAGTATTGCATGTCGGGACTTGTTTGGCTCAACATCCCATCAGTTTCAATGTCAAAGGGAACTGTTTGTTTCCAAGTATGTACATGGTTGCGCTGGGCCGTCGTGTTTGATGCAGACGGTGTTTGAATAGATCAGAGAGTTTAAAATTGCATGGGTTTTAGGGTTTCCAACAATAATCTCTTTAGTGCCCTTTCCATTTGTAGTCCTGCTTGTTGCACTGAGTGGTCCCTTTATGATTGCGGCATGGCCACACGTTTACATCTCAAAGCAACTTGTGTGTGGTTCATTTGTCCCTTGGGCTTCATAGCTGCACATCCACATGGTTTAGGGCCAACATCGATTGTCATTCACCCCAGAATTGGAGGCTAATCTCCAAGAGAGAACTGTCAATGAAATCAGGAAGAACATTCATTAATTTGTATGTGTTTGCCATTTTCTTTGAAAACCTGGTTTAGAAAGAAATTGGGTTGAGAGGCAGTCCTAGATTAATTCAATTGAAAAATGATTTGTTTGCTTTCTAACCAGCCATGAGAAGGCAGTACATTTGGAGGGTGGATAATGGCTGGAAAGTGGGGGTGGGTTTGATGATTGCTTTGTGACAGATGGTCCAAAACGTCCAGAGGAACCCCAACCAGAGTTGGCAACTCGAATGGTTTTCCTGTCTGTGTCCTATTGCAGGCAGGAAGCAGAGGTAAGGGTGTGTGGGCTTGGACTGGTATCAGAAGTGTTCCTTATCTGGAAAATACACCTTCAAAGTGGTCAAGTACAGCACCATAGGTTTTGGCACTTGCCGTGTTCAAGTGGCTATTCAATTTACATTTGGGATGTGGGCGTAGATTTCAAGGTAGACAATCATTGCCTGCCTTTAGCTCCTTTGAGAGGTGTTACTGAGCCGTCTTCATGAATTATTGCAGTCTATATGGTGAAAGTCCTCCCACAGTGTCGTTAGGAAGTTCTAAGATTCTGACTCTGTGACAATGAAGGACTAACACTGCAACATAGTTAATGCTCATTGTAAAACCCCAGATGTTCAGTGTCAACAAAGAATGCAATAATGAAGCATCACCACCAAGTTCACATCATGTAGCGTTTTGATCAGCAATCACTGGCAAACAACTTGCCTAAAAGTAGCCTGATCTTTGCTCAAAAAACCGAAAGAAGTGGATGCTGGAAATCAGAAACTAAAACAAAAACAGAAATTGCTGGAAAAACTCAGCAGGTCTGGTGGCATCTATGGAGAAGAAACACAGTTGACGTTTCAGGTCCAGTGATCCTTCTTCAGAACTTTGCTCTTTCACTTTAAGGCCCACATCCAGTGAGCATGCTACACTGTACTGAACTTGTTTCCCCAGCTTGTAAGGGCATGTTTCCCCAGCATATGAGCTGTGTGGCATGTGAAAGCCAGTTTGATGATTAGTATGAATAAGAATTGGGATGCAACAGTGAGATCATCCCACAGTGGGAACAGGGTAGACAGGCTGCTGCTATTCCCTTTTGCTGCTATTTTTCAAACACGTCTGTGTTTACCACCCTGTGCCATAACATTGCAGCGAGTCTACAGCCTTAGAACAGGCTGGTGGCCAACTGGTGTATATGCCCCATTGAGTCTCCTCCCACCCCTCTTTAACTATCCCTTTCCCTTGTGCAAAATGATGAAAGTGTTTTTTTTTAATCATGCATAGGATGTGGGCGATTCTGGCAAAGCTGCACTTATTGCTTATCCCTCATTACTGTAAGAAGGTAGAATTGCTTCTGATTGTCTTTACAACTGTCTGGCTTGAAGAAAGAAAGAGTTAGATTTTAAAAGTGCATTTGCATGTCCCAGTGTGCCTTTTGACCAATGCAGGACTTTTGAAGTATAATCATTACTGTCATGTAGAAAAAATGCCATGGAGAGCATGATTGCGTAATCTTTTTAGCGACGTTGGTTAAGGAGTAAATATTGGCAGGAACACAATAGAAATCTCCCTTATTTCTTTCTCATGCTCTTTTTAGTATGCAGGTAGAGCAAGTGATGAGGAAGGCAAATGGAACGTTATCACTTATTGCAAAGGGAATGGAATACAAAAGTAGGGATGTTTTACGACCATTGTACAGGGTGGTCGTGAGATCACATCTGGAATATGATGTAACAAGTTTTGGTTTCCTTACTTAAGGGAAAATATAAATGCTTTCTAAATATAAATGAGGCAGCAGATTAATATTTCTTCCAAAAATTAGCACCTTCGGTAGGATCACCCTCCCTCAGCAAGACACTGGAACTTTGAGAATGGTACAAGGAGATAGCTGTTCTGCCGATTCTGCACTGAAGAGCCATCTGCAGCACAGCAGGTGTAAAGTTCCACACTTCCTGTGAGGGAGATTGTGGATCTTTTGTTTTAAATTCTATTTTTTTTTATTATTCATTTGAAGGATGTGGGCGGCGGTGGCTGGCCAGCATTTATTGCCCGTCCCTAGTTGTTCTTGAGAAGGTGGTGGTGAGCTGCCTTCTTGAACCACTGCAGTCCACATGCTGTAGGTAGACCCACAATTCCATTAGGGAGGGAATTCCAGGATTTTGACATAGCCACAGTGAAGGAACAGTGATATATTTCCAAGTCAGGATGGTTAGTGGCCTGGAGAGGAACTTGCAGGTGGTGGTGTTACCATGTATCTGCTGCTCTTGTCCTTCTGGATGGAAGTGGTCATGGGTTTGGAAGGTGCAGTCTGAGGATCTTTGGTGAATTTCTGCGCAGCATCTTGTAGATGGCACACACTGCTGCTACTGAGCATCGGTAGTGGAGGGAGTGGATGCTTGTGGATGTGGTGCCAATCAAGCGGGCTGCTTTGTCCTGGACAGTGTCAAGCTTCTTGAGTGTTGTTGGAGCTGCAATCATCCAGGGCAAGTGGGGAGTATTCCATCAGGCCATCTTAACATCATCTTTCTCTTTTGCAGTTGGTGGTATGGCTCACATCAAGAGATCAGCCTCTGATTCGGGTGAGGAGCCTGTGCGGAAGAAGTCAACTCCTGAGACCAAACCTAAAGTGCCCAAGAACACACGGACTCCCACTGCTGTGCCAGCCTCTAAGGATGCACCAACGGTATGGTGTAGTCTCTGTTATGGGATTAAACTGGTAGAATACATTTTCTTTCAACTAATTAAAAGAATCATATTGGAAACCCTCAGCAGCATTTTTGGAGTGAGAAAGTTAACGTTGCTTTTCTTTAGAATTGGAAAAGTGTAGAGATGTGAGAAAAGTGAAGCAGATACAGAGACACAGAAAGTGGGGATGGGAGGATGATGTGAAAGGGAAGACCTGTGTCTATTTGGAGAACAGAAACTGGTGAAGATTCAACTTCTTCAGTTCTAAAGGCAGAGATTATTCGCTGATCCATGGCAAAGTACCATTATTATTTTTTCTTTATTCATAAATGGGATGAGGATGTTGCTGGCTAGGCAGCACTTATTGTCCATCCCTAATTGCCCAGAGGGAAGTTCAGAGTCGACCACACTGCTGTGGGTCTGGATCATATGTAGGCCAGACCAGGTAAGAACATTAGCGAACCAGGTGGGTTTTTCCGACAATGGATTCATGGTCATCATCAGACTCGTAATTCCAGATATTTTATTGAATTCAAATTCCACCACCTGCCATGGCGGGATTCGAACCCGGGTCCCCAGAACATTGTCTGGGTCCCTGGATTAACAGTCCAACAATAATACCACTAGGCTATTGCTTCCCATATGACTGAGTTTGAGTGAGTAAGTCAAACTGGGAATACCGAACCCCATGCTGTTGGTTTGATCTGATCGACAGGCAAGCCTTCTAGCCAACTGAACTAACTAGCTCCCCCACACTCATCCCCTTTACACTTCCTCCAGACCCATATTTTCACTTATCCCATTACCATCTCTTTTTTTTGCAATTGTACTATTATTCATTCTGCCAGGCTGTATTCCCCTCTACACTATTACATTGTACTTGTGAGAGCGTGATGATCACACACTGGGCTGCTCCATTCAAGGTCAATTAGCTGCCTATCTCTGAGGTGTGCCACCTGAGGAATGATGATTGCATCCGGCCACCGTGGCAAGTTGGCGCAACGATTGTTGTAGGACTTTTGTGACCCACTCTTGGTTAGATGGGGAAACGAGAGCAAAATAATTGTACATTTTTCCCTCCTTCTTCCAGAATAAAGCTCCTGTTGCTGATGCTGGTGACAGATCCAATAAGTCGGGGACTTTATCCAGTAGCTGCGCCATCTGCAAAAAAACCGTGCTGTTGGTTCAGCGGTACTTAGTAGATGGGAAACTCTATCACAGGAACTGTTTCAGGTGAGATACAGGACTGAATGTGTTGCCTTTGCCTTCAGCTGCTGAGGTCCGAAGCTCTGCAACTCTCTCCCTAAATCGCTCCACTTCCTGATCTTGCCATCCAAATTTAAGACACACTTTAAAATCTACCTTTGTGACCAAACCTGTCAGCACTTGTCCTAATGTCGCTTTACATAGATGGGTTTTGAATATTGCTCGTTAATTTAGTGGCCAAGGGGAGAACAGCGTGAGACTGGAAGAAGTATAAAGATCGTCTAGTTGTGGTCACTACACTTAGGGAAAGATGTGAATGTCCTTGAGAGGGTGCAGAGGATATTTACCAGCATATTTCCATAGGTGTGCTTTTATTCTAATTGTTGGGTTGGAAAGGCGGGGGTCATGCTCTTGGCAAAGATGTTTGAGAGAAGATTTGATAGAAATGTACAAGATTTTGAGTGGCTTAGATAAAGTAGCCAGTGAAAAACTGTTCCCATTGGCTCAATACACAAGGTCCAGGGGATATAGATTTAAGGTTTAGGGCAAGAGACAAAGGAGGACTGTGAGGAAGAGATTGTGTAAACAGCGAGCGATCTGCAAATCACTGCCTGCAAGGTGGTAAATGTGGAAACAGAATCACAGAATCATAGAAGTCTTATGGCACAGAAGGTGACCTAGGCTGAAACTTTTGGTCCCAAATTGAAGCACAGATCCAGAAAAATCCCGGGCTCAGCAAACGCCACGCAGGAGGAGGTCCCTCAGATTTTCCCATTTTGATTTTGGAGGTTGGAGGGTGGATCTGAACTGGATCTCGGCCTAGTACCCATGGGAAGAGTTCAGAGGCAGCCGCAAGGGCTGCCAAATGCCGTGGTGGGTTGTTGTAAAGACTATGGAGGTACAGGACTTTGTTCCAGTTGTAAAAAGAAAGAAACAAAAAACAGCCCTCCCAGCCTTCCTCCATCCACACACTCCTCGTGCCCCTTCTGTGCCAACCATGTATGCACCCACAAAACCTTTTGCAGCCCTTAAATCAACTCTGCCAATTCATACCAAACTGTGTCTGCCAAGCACCACCCTTTTGATTTCCAGCTTGGTACCAACTTACACAGTACTCCCCCCGGGCACACTTTGGCACCCATGAGGAATTGAAATAAAGTTCTAACTGACTGTTACAGAATTTCATGATACAAAAACTCATTCATCCAAATCCATTTAATATATTTGCATTCCTTCAAACTATATAAACACTTTTATAAGTAACCAATTGTGCTTGTAGCCCCATATCAAAGATTTTATAATACTTATAGAGTTGTCAATCAAATTGCAAACTGACAGGTGTCCCACTGTGATAATGATAACATGAATTGTATAATTATAGCCCTCAGGCTAATGCCAATGGTCAGAGTGAAACCACAAGCACTGAATTTCTTTTCTAAACTGAAGAGTATTTTATTTTCAGTTTTAAAACCAGGAGGTTTAAATGCCTTGATAGCTTCACTGTTCCAATGAATGTATTTGCTTTTTACCCACACCCATGTCTACTTTTAACAAGTTCAAAGGGAACCTAACATCTCCCAAAGACACCTGACCTCTCCCAAAAATGCCCTCAACCTACCACACCTCTCCTGTAGTATATTTAGACTTTCTTCTGAAAAGGGTAAAGCCCACTAGACATGTTTTAAGTAACCCAGTACTGAACATTTGTTCTGTTTGAAGGCACTTTTACATATACGGCTACCTCCATAAACGGTGGATGTGCAGATTATAACCCATGCTCATTATCCACCCAACAATGAAAGTGAGTGGCAGGTTCAGGGCAGGACATCTGGAATCAGGGCTTCAAAGCCACTTGGCTTCACCAGACATCCTATTCTGTCTTTGCAAAACTTCAGATCCCGATAATGCAGTTGGCATTTTAATGTAATAAATTGTTATTACTGTATTCCAATGTAGATCACATTCTTCATACTTGAAATAGGATCCACCTCTGTAAAAGGTGATTTTCCCCATGGATCTACAATTCGGTATGGCTTACTTCAACTATAGATGTGGCCAAGAGGTTTTACAATGTTGGGAAGTTGACAGAAATTCTGCTTAGATCTAAAATTGTAATGAAAAGTAGAAATTTACATAAGACCTTTGACATCCTCAAGACAGCTCACAGTACTTTACAGCCAATTGTTTGATTTTATAGTACTGTCATTATCATGTTTTCCTGAGGCCTAGCGATAACATTTCATGCTAGAAGCGGGTAGGGGAAGTTGGGCAATTTCCTGGCTTGCTTGCACATCTGCCTCAGGAGGAAGTGCCTGCCAAGATAGGATTTTTGTTTTGGGTGCGGTGCTGATGCTAACAAGAGTTCAGTAGCAGCTACAGGGCTGCTGTGTAAGAAGGTACCCTCTTCTAAAGGCCCACCTCGCATTGTGGGAGCATGTCCCAGTTATAATAAACACAGTAAGGCCCTAGAGACCTCGTCTCTTGCACCCTCTCACCCAACACACTACACATTTCCCATCCATCAAACCTCATGCTGTCACCTGTCCCTCTATGGATTTTCATACCCTCTGTGTCAAGCTATGACATTTTCATGCCCATTCAAACTGAACCAGGAAACCATATACTGACAATAGGCAAACAAGAAATGCTGGAGATCACAGCGGGTCAGACAGCATCCATGGGGAGAGAGCAAGCTAACGTTTCGAGTGTATATGACTCTTCATCAGAGCTGATGATGAGTTATCTAGACTTGAAATGTTGGCCTGCTGTCTTTCCATAGATGCTGTCTGGTCTGCTGTGATCTCCAGCATTTGTTGTTTTCAGTACAGATTCCAGCATCTGCAGTGATTTACTGACAGCAGGATGTGTTTTAAAAAGAAGTTTAAAAATTAACTCCTTCCTTCAGAACATTCCATTTTCTTAAACAAATAAACCTTAATTCACTACAGACAAATAAAAATACCAATTGTCCATACCCTTTAAAGTATCAATCGTAGAAATTGCAAGCACCAAAATCTCTTTATCTTGTATAAATGCACTTGGCGCAGTTGCCAGATTTGATCAGAGATCCAGGGCAGTCAATCAGTGTTTTTGCTGGGATGCAGCTATTTCAATACTTGAATGGGGGATGTCTGGGCTCTCCGGCAAGCCTCATTATGTACTGTTAATGTATTAATCAAGCTTTAACTGTTAGTCATGCTCTTCATTCAAGATTTCACCCTTCTCACCTGCCACAGGTGTAAACAGTGCTCCAATATCCTCATGGCTGGTGCATATAAGGCTGGACCCATACCCGGGACTTTCATCTGCACCAACCACCAAGCCAACGCTGGTGAGAATAGCAACAACAACAGCAGTTACGTCACCCCCAAGTTACACAAGCCCAGCCCCAAAGCCGACGAGTCAGCACCAACAGTCCACAAGCCGGTGGTGAGCCATGTGACCAGCCCCACCGCAGTGACAAATGCCCCCAGACAGGGCGAGGTCTCGTCAACAGCTTTCAAACCAGGAGGCGGTCGTGCGGACACAATGCAGGCTGCAAGGCAAAAGTTTATGAGTTCAGGGACGCCTGAGAAACCAACTTCATCTGATTTGGTGAGCTCACTGCGTTCCCCAGATCCTGCACGTGGCCAGCATTGTTCAGTGGAAACGATAACGCAGAGGCCTTGGTCGCCTGGAAACCAGGAGCGCACCAACATGTTGAAGAGTCCGACTGCAATCACCAGGTCCACTTCTGACATGGACAAAGACAAGGCACGCTCGGTCCTGCAGAAGAATTTGCCCTTTGAGAAGAATAACAACACAAGCCAAGGTGTAGCCTCGTCTTCCCTGTTTCATATGGACAAACCTTCAGGAGCACGGCCCATGAGTCACCAGACCACCAAAACTGTAACTGTGGACGTAAGCAACCAGAAAAATGTCCAGACAGGAACCAGGCAATCTATATCACCAGACCAAAGGGGCGAGACCAGCAAAGCCTCCAAATGGGGGCCAACGTCTGCCTTGGAACTACCGTCCCGTCCTCTGGTCACAAAAGGTGTTGCCAGCTCTGAGGCAGTGTTCACACCTTCAACGGGGAGTTCCCCAAGAGGCACATTAAACCGGGCTGCCAGCATGAATGAAGCAACAGGTCGTGGATCAACTTTGACCCAGCAGACAACCAGTAAAGGTTAGTTCTCTGGCATACACACTCTCTAAAGTAGCTGCAGCCCCACAGGCTGACAATCAACCCAGTCTGAATGGGCTTCGCTATCCTCAATGTGGACATGGCATCTAGTCTCACTATCGGAGAGGGCGCTGAGGTACTGTCACAAAGTTAGCCTGCCATCTTTCAATGAGATCTAATGCTGAGATCTGCATGTTCAGGTTAATGTACAACAACTTGCATTTACATTGTGCCTTCAAATGTAATGAAACATCCATATCCCAGAGAGCTATTTGAAGAAGAGCAGAGAAATACACTTCCCTTGTCCTGGGCAATGTCCACCTCTTAAACCACACACCTGTGAAAGGGTTAATCAACCATTTCTGCCGTTGTTGTTTGTGGCACTTTACCGGGAACAGTTAGTTGCCATTTTATTCTAAATGACTGAGTTATTTAGTATTTAGTTGAATTTAATCTGATTTAAGTGGAGTGACTAGGGAAAGCTTGCATTCTTCTCAACGGAGCAGAGTGGGAGATTTAGTAACGTCGCGTCAGAATTTCCAAGTACCAGCAATCTCACGCACATTGCCACTGCATCCTGTTTTATGCAATGTAAGAGTTCCACATTTCTGACAGGAGATTTGATCAGACAGTCCTTCAGGAATGCACAGCCGTACTTCCACTTAGATTCCCATTTCATTCAGAACGTCGCAGGGAGTTAAACTGTGGTCCTCTTTCTCACAGCAGTCAGCTGCTGGATTCTGAAATGTAAAGGTCCAGAATCCCAGACAGCCACATTGACAGCTGCTGTCACACCACCATTCGGTGCCAGGTGGCTGGGCATTGTAAGGTCCCTGGTGGGTAGAAAATATAATGTCAGGTGGGTAGGATGCCAGACATATGGCATGTCAGGGTGCAGGATGGCAAGGGGGCTAGGTAAGTACAGAGTTTAAGGTAGGCCAATGGGTGGGAGTATTGGGCCATATGAGGAGTGGGGAGCTTTTAGTCCTTGGGCTGTTGGGGGGGTAAGGTGCTGGAGGGGGGTAGGGTTGTCCAACCTGGAATGGGACGGATCAAGACCAGAGCTATGGGAAGGGGGCATAAGTCCAGAACAAGAAGTAATAGGTTGGGGTCCAGTGTGGGGGTGGGGGGATGGGTGTTGGCTTTCAAGAATAGAGGAATTATTTGGCAGAGAATATTGGCCCCTGGGGCATGGGGCAGTGCTTGGGTCTAGTGGAGGGGTGTTATACGTCATTCTTGTACAGCATGGAAACAGACCTTTCCGTCCAGCCAGTCCATGCCAACCATGTTCCCAAACTAAACTAGTTGCCTGTGTTTAGCCCAAATTCCTCCAAACCTTTCCTATTCATGCACTGATCCAAATGTCTTTTAAATATTGTAACTGTATCAGCATCTACCACTTCCTCTGGCAATTCATTCCACATATGAACCACTCCCTGTGTAAAAAAAGTTGCCCGTTACATTCTTTTTAAAACATTCTCCTCTCACCTAAAAATATGCCACTTAGTTTTGAATTCCCCCCCTTAGGGAAAAGACCTCTGCTATTCACCTTATCTATGCCCCTCACGACTTTATAAACCTCTATAGGGTCACCCCTCAACCTCCTACGTTCCAGTGAAAACAGTCCCAGCCTATCCAGCCTGTTTTTATAACCCAAACCCTCCATTCCCAGCAACATGCTGGTAAATCTTTTTTGGACCCTCTCCAATTTAATAACATCCTTCCTATAGCAGGGCGAACAGAACTGCACACAGTACTGCAGAAGAGGCCTCACCGACATCTTGTACAACCTCAACATGAACTATGTACCTGAACCCCTGGGTCTCTCTGTTCAACAACACTACACAGAGCCTTACCATTAATTGTATAAGTCCTGCCCTTGTTTGTTTTACCAAAATACAATACCTCGCATTTATCCAAATTAAATTCCATCTGGCACTCCTCAGCCCATTGACCCAATTAGTCAAGATCTCTTTGTAATCTTAGATAACCTTCTTCACTGTCCACTACACCGCCAATTTTGGTGTCATCTGCAAACTTACTAAGCGTGCCTCCTATGTTCTCTTCCAAATCATTTATATAAATGACAAACAAAAGTGGACCTAGCACCAATCCCTGTGGAACACTGTTAGACAACCCTCCGCTACCACTCTCTGTCTCTCCTACCGTCAAGCCAATTTTGTATCCAATTGGCAAGCTCACCCTGAATCCCATGTGATCTAACTTTACTAGTTAGTCAACTTGATGGAACCTTGTCAAAGGCTTTACTAAAGTCCATGTAGACAACATCTACCGCTTTGCCCTCATCAGTCATTTTGGTTGCTTCTTCAAAAAGCTCAATCATGTTTGTGAGACACGATTTCCCTTGCATGAAACCATGCTGACTATTCCTAATCAGTCCTTGCCTCTCCAAATGCATGTAAATCTTATCTTTCAGAATCACCTCCACCAACTTACCCACTATCAACTGTGTCCTGTGGGAAGGGGCGGGTGTTGTGTCAGTCAGGGGGTGAGAGCTGGTGGGGAGGTCAGCGGACATGTAATTTGGGATGTGTGAGGTAAGGTGAGGGTCAGTTTAACAGTCAGACGTTAGACTAGGCAATTAATATTCTAATTTCTCCTGAAAAATATGTACTTAGCTCAGCAGAACCCTCCAAATTCTCCGACTTAAATGGAGACTTCCGGAATGTTCCAGGCACAGAGAATTTGTCCAAAGGGATCTTCAATTTCCCAGATAATTCCTTCTGTGTGTGCTATGATGGGGATTTTGCATGGTCCCCATGCTCAATTCCCATCTACACTTCAGGAATAATTACCTAGCCATTGGAAAATCCGGGCCAATGATGAGGCATTTTGATAGAAGGGTGAGGTGAAACTATTTCCACAGGCAGGTGGGTTGATAATAAAAAAATTACAATTTTAAGCTAATTGGCAATTAAACTGTAATGAAGCGTTATAACATATCATTATCACTCAGAAACGTGGACTCTAAAGTACAGATAAACGGGTTTGGGTTTTCAGTTCCATGAAGGTGTATTTTGTTTTAAGAGTCAACCTTTTTTTGCAGTAGGTCAAAGCAGCATTCCTAAGAAATCATGCAACTTAAGGTCCCTGGTGAGATAATTATTGAAGCGCTAACTAAGGTGAGTTTTATGACCCACAGAAAGAAAGGCCAGAGCCAGAAGCAGGATCAATTCAGAATGAAAAATCTATAGCAGCAGTGCTATGTGGCCGTTTAAAAGTGGTAAAAACCCTGGTATCTTCTTTTTTAGAGTTCAATGAGAAACACAGTGAATTCACCTAAGTCTATGTGTCTTTGGAAATAGGGAGAATCACATAAGGTGATTGCACAAAATACACCAAAAGGATATGCTTGTGCCCTTGCTGGTGAGTAAGAAATTTTAACATGAGGTTAGGAGTGATAGTTTATCGAAGTTGTGTGTCTGTAAAATAAATTGTTGAGAAAAAGGGCTGATTATTTTTCTTCTTGCTATTTGTTATAAGTTGTTTCCAAATTATCTTATACAGCTTTGTTTTTTTTTCTACATTTGTGTGTGGTATACTTATGTTTAGTTAGAAACATATCGGCAACCTCTTGACTGTTCAGCAACTTGCCCTCATGGTAGCCAAACTGCAAAAGTAAAATTTATAATGTATCAAGCCAGGTTTCACTCTAGAATCTGACTTGTCCAGTACTACCAGTTGTTGGGATCATAATAAGATGGGTGTTCTTGGTGGGTTAGAAATCCATTGAATTTAAAAGGGATCTGTGGATCTTTAGAAATGCATATGTGGAGGGTAATGGATATAAAGACAGGAGTTGTTGTGAAGTATATTACACAGATTGGAAATTCAAAATGGCTTTAACTGTTGCGAAGACTTTTCTCTGAGTAGAAAATAATTATTTGAAATCCTTGACGAAGGCCACAGGGAGGGAATTCATGGAGTGTTTGAAGTTAGAAATAAAAACAGGATCTTGTAAGTGTGAGGAGAGATAGTTGGAAGTGCTGATGCCAGAGAATCTGAGATAACAAGGTGTAGAGCTGGATGAACACAGCAGGCCAAGCAACATCAGAGGAGCAGGAAAGCTGACGTTTCGGGTCTGGTCCCATTTCTGAAGAAGGGTCCAGATTCGAAACATCAGCTTTCCTGCTCCTCTGATGCTGCTTGGCCTGCTGTGTTCATCCAGCTCTACACCTTGTTATCCTGTAAGGGTGAGATGCTTAAAGTGATTACACAGCATGTAGAATTAAAAGGGGGGAACCCGAAATTGATATATCTCTATTAGAATTAACTAAGATTCAGGGCAAAATTTCCATTAGAAGAAAAGTAAATGAAAACAGCAAAGGCACAAGACAAGCATGAAAAGAAAAGAAACGTGGTAAGGAAGGAAGAAGAACAGAAAAGGTAACTGGAAATAGGAAAGTTATAATAGAAAGTGAGGAGAAATCCGAAGAGTTGGGTAAATTAGAAAATGTGACTTGATTAGAAGAAAGCATAAAGTTAAGGATAAAAGAAAAGGTAGAAGCTCAGAGTACAATTCTAATTTCGATGGTTTGAATTCAATAGAAATCTTTGGCAAGTACCTACATTTACAGAGGATGGTGTTGGAAGATATTTAACCTTATTTGAAAGGATGGCTGGGAGTTGAAGTGGTTATAAAATGCTTGGACCGTATTGTTAACGCCTTAATAGGTACAGCGATGAGTGGATACAGCAGTTTGTCAGAAAAGCAATCTGTAGGCTGTGAAACTGTAAAGAGAGTGGTGCGCAATGCTTATGCATTTGTTCCTGAAATGTATTGTCGGGGGAAAACTCTCTGCTGATTGGAGTCATTTTTGGCACATAGGAAGATGTTTGTGGCTGTTGGAGGTCAGTCAACTCCGCTCCAGGACATCAAATGCAAAAAGATCCGGACAATATCCAGGTTTGGGTTGATAAGTGGCAGATAGCATTTGCGTCACACAAATGCCAGGCAATGATCATCACCAAAAGAGACAATT